TCACTTCGGTGATGTCTGCCAGTGTCGCATGACCTTACTGCACCCCGAGCGAACTCCAGCGCAGAGCTGTCTCGCAGAATAACTGGCCCGTTATTGTGTACCAAGGTCAGGCGACACAGGGGAGACTGAAGAACTGTTCCAAGCAAAGGGGCCTGGAGAGAAATAGCAAGCAGTGTGTGATTCCAGACTGGGTCCTTTTGTTTCGAAGGATATTATTGAGGTAATTGGCCAAAACAGAATGGGGTCTAAAGAAAAGGTGAAAATCATGTATTGATGCATGTTATAACTTGTGTGTAGAGGCCCCCCAAAGCCTCATGTGGTCATAGGTGGGGCTTTTCAGAGGTGGCTGGATCCAGAGTGTGTGATTAATTCATGGTGCAATGCTAGGATTAAGAGTGTGAGATTACTAAATCAGCCCACTGATTGGCTTGGCACCGCCCTAATCCTGGTAGCCTCGATAGAGTATAAAAGGGGCAGAAAGAAGCTGCCAAGGTCCCTTGCTTGCTTTGCTACCTTCTGCTCACCATGAACTATTTCTCCTCTGTGATGCCCGTCTGCCATCCGCTCTGCCTTAGAGCCAGCTGACTATGGACTGAAACCTCTACAAACTGTGAGCCACATAAGCCTTTCCTCCCTTAACTTTGGGTGTTGGGTATTTTGTCTCAGCAGCAAGAAAAGTAACAAGACAGTGCACATTTCCTGATTTCTATGGTTGTACTCTTGTTTATATTAAAAAATGCTCTTATTTTTAAGAAAGATAGTAAATACTCAGAGGTAAAGGCATCTGCTTGCTCTGATGGTCAGGACAAAGGAATTTTTGTAGTATACTTCAGACTTCTCTATGTGTGATTGTTTAACAAAAAAATAAACTTTCCAAAAGCCACAAAACAGCATTTCACACTTACTACAATGGCTGGATTTTAAGTGATAGATTGGGGGTAATAGAGCAACTGGAACTCTCATACATGGCTCGTTGGAATATAATTCTGTGTTAGAAATAGCCGGGTAATTCTCCACCATGAAATGACCATCCTGTGACCCACCAGTCTCCATGGTGCCCCATGCTGCCCTTGGGACTAGTAGTATCACTACTCTTTCATCATCTTGGCTAAGTCACATCTATCCTGTGCAGCCCCAAATAATTTCTAAACTCGGAATGGTAGTAGTAAGAACTTGTAAAGCCCTTACACATTACATGGTATTTTTTTTTATATCCACTATGCTGTTTAGTCTTGGCAACAACTTTAAGTGGTAGATGTGTTTGGAAGGACATTGGAAGCCAGTTTCTCACTATCACAGAAGTAAAAGAAAGAGAGCTAGAATGAGCCCTTGGTGGGTGTTGGAGTGGAAGATTCTGAAAATCACGTTGCCGATGAGGGGACTGCGGCTGAGAGCTTAGACCATGAGCCAGGAGACAAGCTCCTGTGAGCCGGCTGCATGCCAAGCACTTTCTCATGGCCAGCTCCTTGCACCTTTGCAGGAACCCTCCGAGAAAGGTGAGTCTTCTCCATTCACAGATAGAGAAAAAGAGAATTGCAGTATGTTCAAGTTCACAAAGCAAATTAGTGTCTGGCTAGAATCAAGCCATGTTGTCTCCAAACTCCATTTCACAGCATATCTTTGTCAAGATAGACAGATAGCACAGGACTCAAGGACCCGGGGCTTGTGCAATTGCTGGAGTGAGCTGTGGCCCAGGCAGTCTGGAAAGGCAGCAGGTTATCTGCTGAGCAACCCAGCTGAGGAGAAGGCAGCCCCCAGACAGCCTGGGACTGCCGCCCTTATCCCTCCCCACCCAGTCTGGAAAGATTGCTCACCTCCTTCCTCTGCATCGCTCCAGCCTAGAGCTTGGCAGCATTGAGCCTGCACCTGGGGCACCCTGCAAGTCCCTTGTGCAGACTGCGCCCATGTACCGCCCCCTTCTCGGGATGCCTCGGATTATCTGTGGGTTGTTTGAGCACTTCTCTCCTCTGCTGGTCTGCATCTTGTTGGTGAAAGAAAGGTACTATATATTGCTCTAGGACCACACAAGAAACTTCTCTATGAACCACTCTGCCTTTTCTCAGTCCTCATGATAGCAGCAGCAGCAGCAGCAGTACAATAGTAACAGTAATAGCTAATGTTTAGATCTTATGTGCTGTCAGTTGTGCCAAGTAAGTGAGAAAGATATTTTATAGCCACATTTTATAGATGGGAAAACAAGCTAAGAAAGGTTAGGCCATTTTTCATTTAGTAATGGGAAAGAAATCTGAAAATTCTAGCAGCTGCATGTCTTATTTCAAGCTAGTTTGAAAATTGACTCATATGTTAGGTTGCTCAGTTATTAAATCCCAAAACAATATTTGAGGTAAAATATTAAACGATAAATATTAAATTTTATAATCATTTTTCACTTAATGTCAAAAATAGAGTAAATGCTCAGTTTATTTTTAAATAGGTTTCTTTTTGTATTATGTTTTTACTTGGCATTTCTTTTGCTTAAATTATTTTGGACTTACCCATGTGGTTGTGTTTATCAGCAATTTGTTACTGAACAGTATTGTGTTGCATAAATATACGACAGTCGACACATCCATTCTTGTTTGGTCATTTGGATTGTTTCCATTTTTGGCTATTATCATAAGTCTGCTGTGAACCTTCTTTTACATATCTTTTAGTTTCTCATAGGTAAAAGTGGGGTTGCCCTGTCATAGTGGACGTGTTTCCCGGACCTAATGAGAAATTGCCCTTGGGCTGGAGATTTAGCTCAGTGGCGCTGTGCCTGCCTCGAAAGTGCAAGATCCTGATTTCGATCCCCAGTACCAAAAAAAAAAAATTGCCCTAAGTTGTCCACAATAGCGACACTATTTTACACATCTTCCAGCACTGTTTGAAAGTTCCAGATCCTCCACATCCTCGCTGATACTTGGTGTTGACCAGTGTTTAAAGCTATTTCAATGAGTGTGTATTGCTGTCTCACTGCAGTTTCAGTTTGCATTCCTCCACCAATGCACAATGTTCCTCACCTTTTTGCATGTGTGTTTATTGACTTTTCAGGTCTTTATGTATTTCTTTTTGAATTGCTTATGTTTTTGTTGTTTTATGGAGGCATTCTTATATTCTGCATATCCTTTGTCAAGTATGTGCTGTACTTATTTTTTCCCATTCTGCGGTGTTCCTCTTCGTTGTTCAAAAGGTGTCTTTTGATGAGCAGAAACATTTAGTTTTGAGAAAGTCTAATTTTATAAATTTGTACGTTGTGTGCCCCGAGGTCACTAAGATACTCTTTGATGCTTCTGGAATCTTTATGATTCTGGGTGGTATATTTATACTATCATGTATCTTACTAGATTAATTTTTTGATGGAGAGAGATGAGGTTGAAGTTCATGTTATTCCATACAGATACCCTCTCATTCTAACTATGTTGATAAAAAAGGCTTTCCTTTCCTTATTGAGTTGTCATAGCATGGACTCCGGACCTGGGTCCCCTGTGGTCCTTTCTCAGCCCTGCCATATGCTTTGTGACCCACACAGGTCTCTGAACTTCCACAGAACTCAGTTTCCTCCTTTCTGGAAAGGTCGTTAATACTAATCCTGTACCTACCTTAGAGGGATGATTTGGGATTAAATACACATAGCCATGTGGAATACTTAGAAAGATGGCCAATAATGTAAGTCCTCAGTGAATGTTAGCTGGCATTAGCAAATCATCCTCATGCGTATTTACATTGTTCTCTCATTTATATTCTCTCTGCCTGACAACATGAAATTTAGCATAGATCTTTTTAGCACTCTGCCTATAATTTTGATAGTGTTACATACAATCTGGTAAAGTTACTAAAAGGCCTATTGTTTCATAACCAAAATTTTTTCTCTCTCAATGGCTATTTGCTGGTATTTACAAGGCATTCATTCAGCATAAACTTCTTGAACACTGTGTTACTTTCCTGGTACTATGACAAAATCCCTGAGATAACCAACTTGTTAAAAAAGAAGGAAAGATTTATTTTTGGCTCACAGTTTCATAGGTTCCAGTCCATGGTCTCTGGGCCCTGTGGCAATGACATGGGACATAATGGTGGCACTGTGTGGCGGAGGAGGCCTGTTTGCCTCATGGCAGCTGGAAAACAAAGAGAAATAGGAAGGGGCAGGGCTTCAACGTCCCTGTCAAGCACCCACTACCCCAGTGACCTGGCTTCCTCCCCCAGGCCCCACCTCCTACAGGATCCAGCTCCCTGGAGAGCCACAGGCAGGGGACCAAGCCTTTAACACAGGGCCTTGGGGAACCCTGATCTGAACCACAGCAAATATCAGTGCCAGGCACTGTTCTAGGCCTGTGACTGAGCAGTGTGCACAGCTTCTGAATGCAAAGGCCTGCTCTGCATTGCACGCACGCGTGGAGCCAGGCAGACACATGTGAATAACAAGGGGCACATGCCGCTCACTTCAGTGGAGGGTCACGCACAGAGCATTGGAAGGGCTCCTCCTTACACAGGAAGTCAGAAAAGGCCCCTCTGCATGTGCCCTGTGGGTGGAAGAGTCTGTGGGCGGAGCCGGGGAGGGCCAAGCACTGACATCCATCTAGTTGCTGTTAAAGCCTTGTCTTTCCTCCTAAGACAGGACTTGGAACAGACGTGAGTGTGCACATATCCAGCCGCACCTTCGCATTGGTGTAAAGCCAGTGGGTCAGTGCACATCTAGCTCCCCGAGTTGATGATGGTGGGGCAGGTGGCATGTTGGGAGTGGCGTCATCTATGGGCACACTCCGCACCTGCTGCTTCAGTGTCCCCAGTGCTGGTCACCATGTTGTGCTGGGAGTGCAGAGGGGCTTGTGCAGCCCCCACCCCAGAGAGGCAGTGCCCGTCCTCTCAAAACTGCCCCCAGAGGTGGGGCCCCGAGGGAGCCACTCTACTCCTTAGTAGAAGGAGAGAGTAAAAATGCAGGTGTCACACATGCCTCTTTGGTTGTCAGAAAGAAATCTTGTTTGGAAGTGAATTAGATGACTGAAGTATCTTATTTTTAGATCTAGGCTGGAACCAGAACCAAGTGCAAAGGCAAGAGAATCTGCATCTTCTGAGGAAGTTTCAGAGACCCCTTCCGAGGACTCAGAAGAGAAGCCTGCCTCCAAGGCATATCCAGGTAGGAATTCAGATGACAAGGTCCCCTCACACTTGTCCCTCACGGCCGCTCGGCAGGAATACCACACAAACAAGAGGAGCCTGGTCAGGCGCTCCCGCAGGCCAGGATGCAAGTGTGGGTACATGTGCTTCCTGTCCCCACGCACACTGGTGGCCCAGGATTGAGCGCAGCTGACACCTAGCACATGCAGAAGAAATGGAGGGTCTCCTTAAGTCTGAAAACAAGACCTGCTTGGATGTCTTTGATCTGCATCCAGCCCCCTCCTTACCAGCAGGGAACACGTGTCCCATACCACACAGCAGAGGGGTGGCGGTGCAGGGTCTGTGTGTGTGACCCCAGGGTGGGGCGCAGAAGCCCAAGTCTTCTCCATATTCCTCCTCTGGCCTCCCTCACGCTCCCTCGCCCCTGACCTCAGACATGAGGCCCTGGGCTGACCAACACCTTGCTCATGTCACCCCTTTCTCAGCAGTGCCCTCTGAAGGGCCCAGAGAGGCTGGATAAGTTGTCCAGGTAAAAACTCCTGAGTGGCGGCCCAGGGCTCCTGCAGGATCTGTTGGGCTCTGGAGCCTGCGTTACACAAGCTGCTTGCCTGTCCTCTAGGCTCCCTGCACCTTACAAGCAAGAGCATTCAGTGTGGTCCTGGCTTCTGAGCCAGGAGTGCTGGAGGCCCTTCCTGTGGTTAGGACTCTTCCTGGGCACTGGCAAGGACCCGAGCAGACGTTCACTTACAGCACCCTCTCGTGGTCGGGGCACGGCCTGGGTGTGTAAAGCCTGGCTCCTCCAGGGTCCTTTGGGGAATGTGTTACTGTGGAAGTTTTATATGTGAGGAAGTGGATCTGCAGAGTTCAGCTCGAGAAGGGCAGCATGGGGTTTCCTCATGGGTGGTGAAGAGATGCCCTGATCCCTTGGGCAGCAGCTCTGCGTGCCACCCTGGCATCACCCACAAAGTCTTGGCACTGCTTCTCAAAAGCCAACACATAGGGGCATCGCAGCCAAATTCACTCAGGCCGCTCGCTCCCTTCAGTCAGCTGTCATTTATCCGAGGAGAGCTTCAAGGCTGATGGGAGTGGGCACCTAGCACGGACTCGTGGGCCAGCCGAGAGCAGAGCTCACGTGCAGACTGTCAGCCAGTGCGCAGTCCCGGCCCCTGTGCCTAGCTGCTCCCTTCTCCGGGTCGTGTATTTGCCCTGGCCCTTGTGCCAGCTGAAATGATTACTTTGTGTTCACGGACATTTTGCCAAGTTTATCCACACCACAGTTGACAGACTTTTTAAACCTGGGCTCTATGGGTGGCGTCCTTTTGGTGCAGGACCAGGTGGCGCGGGTGGTGGCAGATGGCCTCTTGCCTGCACGCTCCCATCTTGTCCACCGGCAGAGCCCCTCTGTGCCCTCCGCTGACCTGCACACGTCTGCTGTTGAGCCTAGAAAGTTCTGGACACAGGGAGCTGCGTTCATGGGCAGATGCCCAGCCAGGCAGCGCGGAGCCTGGCATGGGATGTGGTCACTGAGGAGCACCCAGGTGGCAGTCAGAGGAGCACCCAGGTGGCAGTGGAGCACGTGGGGACGGGCGGTGGCCTTGCACGCCAGGCCACGCATCTGCACCTGACCGCTGGCACAGGGCACCCTGAGCACTATGCTTCATGCCGGCTCCCAGAGCAGCAGGGTGAGGCAGCTTCCGGTGGCCTCAGAGTTGAACAAGTGCAGAGCACATGGGTTCTGTTAAAAAAACTTTCCCATCCCAGCTTGGAGCTAATCTATGCTCGGCTCAGGTAGGAGCAAGGTTTATATGTTTCTAATTTTGGTGTTCTTATCCCCAAAAAAGGAAGAACAGTCAAAGCTTGAAATGGGTGCTATGAGGAAGACAGGAAGGAGCTAGAGAGCACTTATGGGCAGGGAGTGGATGAAAAGTACCAGTGTTCCTACCCGAAGAGTGTTGGCTCAGAAAAATGCCAGCTAGCCTGAGGGATAAAGCTGCTTTCCTTTCTCAGTACATTTTGCTACAGTGACTGTTCTGGAAAAAAACAGCTTTTTTAAAACCTGTACTGAGTTACAGGTGATATATGGAGGTTTTTGTGAAGGGAGGTTTCCAGTAATAGCATGCATTTCATGCATGGTTGGCCTGACCTGCCTTCTCTAACCTGCTGCTATCATGGTGGTCTCTTCCCTTTCAAAAGACCCTGGACTTCTGCCCATCTCATGGAGCCAAGGTTAACTATAGAAAGTTTACTGAGGTCAAGAAGAAAGGAAAAACAAGGCAGGTTTGCCTGTGAGTCCTTGGTGAGCTGCTGACAAGCCCAGGGTGCTGGCGCAGCACAGACAGTCACCTCTGCAGACCCCTTCCAAGCTGTCTTGCCGAGGAGCGGTCCCTCCTGCCCACTGCTCTGTTCCTCCCAGCTGTGCCCTGCTCAGGCCTCTCCAGAAGGATGCTTCGAGGCAGCCATCCTCCCTGGGAGCCTGTGGTATTGTTGTGCTTCCTGTATTCATCAGGTCTTGATCACAGGGTTCACTGGATGAGGCTTTTCAGGCCCCATCCCCCATCCGGCATCTCCATGGCCAGGTGCCCAGCCCACAGAAGTCCTGTGATGAGAACACAGTGCCTTTATGCTCATGTACAGTTGGAGCAGTGCAGCTGCAGTGATCAAAGCATAGGGTATCCTTACAATGGAATAGTATACAGCAGCCTAAAAAAACAAGGTCAAGCCATGTGGACTGACCTGAAATGTCTCCAAGGGGTGTTGATAAATCATAAAAAGCGAGTTTTAGAACAATATGTTACCATTGGTATCTTTGGAAATATAAGCCACTTGTCCCATAAAATGATGTGTTCTGGGTTGAGGGGTGGACAGGGAATAGCTTGTCTATGTATTTGTGAATGCACTACATACAGTCTGTGAGGCTACACTAATTAAAACAGTGACTCCTGAGAGAGAAATTAGGTTGGAGAAAGGTATATCATTTCTTGTATTGTGTGTCTCTGTGTGTGAGGGCATGCGTGTGCATGTGTGTGTATGTGTTATTTTTTAACAATGAAAGTGTCCATATATTTTGCAGTCTTTAGAAGTAATGGAAGGGTCCAAGTGTGAATATGTTTTCAAGTACTGTGCAGACTGGATCTGAAGAATATCTGTTTAGTTGGCTGTCACTGCTGAATTCAGTGCAGTATTAAAACTCCCCCCTACACACATGCACACGAACACGCACACACACAGGCCTAACCATTCTGTGAGAATCATCTTGGCGGTTCCTGAGCATTGGCCAAGAAATAATCAAATATGGAAAAAGCAGCAAGATTCTGTTCCATTCCTTATTTTTAATATGCCTACTGCCTATGCCACCCTACCCTAAAGTGAATATTTGGCCTTCTGCCTGTTTTCAGTTTCTGTTTCTGTTTTGGTTTTGTTTGGGGTTTTTTTGGGTTTTTTTGTTTTTGTTGTTGTTTTTTTTTCCGGTACCAGGGATCAAACTCTGGTCCTTGTGCTTGCAAGGCAAGTGACGGAACCACTGAGCTAAGTCCCTGGGCCATGTTTTGGTTTTGTTTGAACAGAAAAGACCGTGGCCAAAGTGGGACCTGAACTGGGAGCCGTGGGAGACAGCAGAGGTGAAGATGAGCTATCTGCCGAAGAAATACAGATGGTAATGCTGTTCTCTACCTAACCATTTATTGTTAACTGGTTGTCCTGAGGCCATTTCACTGAGTAGGAGGTCATTCCGCGTGCCCTTGCCCTGATTTCCATTCTGAGTCTTAGAAATTTTGAATAGATATTTTCTATATACTTTCCCACCTCATTTCCTAATTCTTAATATGCTTTTCCAGTGTTTTAAATTTGCCATAGCATAATTAAAGAAGAAATTGCCTTGGGATGATTTTACTAATAATAGATATCTTTTCACCAGCAGTAAAATAGGCTCCTAGATTAAATGGGTCTTTTATAATTGCTAGGATGGTGCTTTTTAATCGTGTGCATTGCTTGGGTTGTGGTAATGAAAGGGAAGCAGAAGTAACGACGGGGGCGGGGGGCGGGGGGCGGAGGAAAGGAGCCACACCTGTGCTGCGGAGCCACCTCCTCTGGTCACCTGGGCCTTCAGAGCCCATTGCTGCTGTCTGTCGCATCTGCGTGGACTCAGAAGGAAGCCCAGGTCCTGCCGGTGCCTCCCTAGCTCCTGTGGTGTGTGTGACAACAGCCAAGGGGAATGCGCTGCCCCAATGTCACGCGGTCCTCATCCGCCCCAGCACGCTCACGAGGAGGCAGGGTGTGTGGCCACCCCTCCTGTCTTAGCAAGAAGCAGGAAGGATCAGTAAGGAGTAAAGCTGGATGCCCAGCCTCACACAGAGTAGCAGCAGCCAACAGAGCCCTGTCCAGTGAGGGTGGGCATGGCCGCTGACCCAGCCGGAAGCCCCCAGTGAGACGCCTGCATTGCTGACTGCTTCCCTGAAAGGCCGCTCTCCCCGCCCCTGTCCCAGCCAGCAGGTCCCGAGTGTGACTGAGAGAGGCCTTCCCTGACCCCAGCCCCAGGTGGCCCCATCACCCCTCCCCAGAGCTCGAGCTCTGTGCAGCCATAGCCTTGCCTTGCTTTCCTCTCCTCTCCGTATCCCCAGAGCCCGGCAGTGTTTGGGAACTGTTGGCTGAGCACTGACTGATGAGTACCAGGTGAGAGCTATGGGCTGTTTTACATGCAGAGCAGGGTCACCGGCAGAATGTTCTGTCCTCAGTGTATTTATACACTGATAGAAGGCCTTCTTCTGCAAAGCCTGCACAGACATTGTCTTGTGCAGCCTTCACACGGATCCGTGCGGCAGGAACAATCACTGTGGCACAGTGGAGAAAACACCACCCAGAATCCCCACGGGCCACTGAGGTCCCGGCCAGGCTCTGCACCCTCATCTCCAGCTCCAAACCCTGCGCTCTTCTCAGTCATCGCAGCTCCCATGTGTCCCCCAGGACTCTGGGTGTGTTCCCCGAGGGGCCCAGCAGTGTGCCGTGGGCCGCGTAGGAGTGCGGCGGGGGCCCTGCAGGACAGCCAGCCTCGGCCCACCTCCTGGACACCGGCGCCCCAACACAGGCGCTGGCTCAGGAGCCTTGCGCCCTCCAGACTTCCCATCTCTTCCCCATGCCTGCAGCAGCGGACTGAGACAGGACTCTCCTTCCAGAAAAGGCATGAGCAGGTAAAGACGTCGGAGCCAGAAGCCCAGAGGCAGCACAGCCTGTGGGAAGAGAGCAGGCCCCGGAGTCTCATCGAGGTGGCGGCCTCTGGGCCCCACTGCCCTGGGTGCTGTCCTCACCAGAGAAGTGGAGAGCAGGGACCACCTCAGGCTGATGCCTGACAGCCCACGTGGCACCTGTGGCCCAGGGCCAGTCACAGCAGCTTCCTCTGCTAAGTGACTGGTGGTACAGAGGCAGGACGGCCTGTCCCCTGAACAGAGGGAGAGACGGCACGCTGCTGCTCTGTGCAGAAAAGGGCTCGCTTGGGCTCTTGCTGAGTTGCTGGACTGCCCTTGTGATCTTGTGATCCTTCTTCCTCAGCCTTCCCAGTAACTGGGATTATGACGTGAGCCAACATACCTGCTAGTTAACTTAGTGTCTTAATTGAAAGTAATAGTTAGTTTCCTAATGAAAATAATAGCTAAGTACCATGTCTTATAGTCTGACTACCCAGCTCTTATTTAAAAGGCTCAACCCTGAAAACGAAGAGAAAAAATATACTATTGGTTTTAAATTGGAAAGTGTATAGCACACTGTGGTCACAATTCATACTCTTTCAGAACTTTTCCTTGGAGTAAAATAATGAATTAAGCCTGATGATAACAACCTAATTGATTACTTCACCCAAAGGAACAGTTGTTAGATAGTTCAGAATGGGTGCAGGACGTTACCTGATTTACACAGTAAGTTTCCCTTTATAAACCGTGCTACAGGTATACCAGTGCCTTTGAGTCCGCAGATACTTCACCATCAGGCTGAGTAGAACCAAATTGTTATCTCACGTCACATCAACAAAATTCCTCCTTTCCTCAGCTCACAGTCATTTTACTCAAGTAAAACCACCTGCATTTATTGATGATAAATAAATAGGACCATTTCAAAAGACATGAAAGTGACATCTGCTCTCTAGGTCTGCATGAAAGGTGTCCCTACCCTGTGTCCTCTGAAGGAGCCGTGGCCATGTGGCTGGCCAGCTAGTGGGACTTCTGGCCAGACTCAGCTCCGGCATCAGCACAGGAGTTGGTGGTGAAGCCACAGAGCCCGACCTTTGGCCGTGGACAGAGAAATATCTGGAAGAGCCAGGAGAGCCTGGGCCGCGGACTCAGAACTGAGGAGGGTCCCCGTGGCCATTACTCAGCTGCTGTTGGCTCTTGGCAATACAGATATCTTTCCCAGCCCGATGTGATACTCAAGGGCCCTTGTTGGGGTGGTTTTCCTTTTAAAACTGTAGTGCAGAGGATTAGATTAGAAGAGGATCTCTGTGACAATATATTCACAATGTGGGTGGTAAACTTTAAACCAGATTAGCAGCCCTGTAGGAGAGCCCTACGGGGAGGTCTAGCTGACCTCTAAGTGGAATAAGGCAGTTAGGTCACGCGTGTCATGCATGCTGTGTGTCATTGCTGCTCCCGGTGCTTCAGGGCAGGCCGGTTCATGCAGCCCCGGATGGCAGGGAGCGATGCCAGTGCCATTCCTCAGAGAGCCAGAATGACCGGTCCACCGCCAGCCACCTGGCTCCCGAGCACAGTGCCGTCGCACTGCGGGCAGAGTCCAGGTGGGGGACTGGCCTGGCTGAAGGAGAACGCTGTCTTCTGGGAGGAGGTCGGAACGGTACAGAGCAGATGGGCCCGAGCAGGAGCCCGGAACTGCAGGCAGCTGCTGTCGCCCACCAGCCCCTGCTTGCCCCTCACATCCTTGGCCTGCCCCGCTGCCTTCCAGTTGCTGTTCCTCAGAGTACACCGGCTTCACCTTCTCAGGACCGAGATGCCTGGCCTGCACTCAGCACTGCGCCTGGCCAAGACCCTACCTTTGTGGGGAGGGGACGGCCACGCAGTCAGAGCCAACACCAGACAAGACAAGGCTGTGTGCTTCTCAGTGCCTGAGAAAGAAAAGGCCCAGGGCCACAGCGGGCCCTAGCGTTGGGGACAGCAAGGTGAAGGGCCTGCGGCAGCCAGCCTCCCACCTAGCCCTGCTAGCATCTGTCCCCAGAGAGCAAACATGGAGAGACCGGGGGGGGGGGGGGGGGAGTTCACTGTGCGCCAGGTAGTGTGCCGAACAACTGCAGGCTCAGCCCTGCTGCTTAAGTAGCATCATTATCCCCGCATTGGTCCCAGAGCTACTCGCCGAAGCTCGGACAGCTCTGGGACTCCCACTGCGGCTCCTCGCCGCCAGGATGAGGCAGGAAAGGAGAAGACTCACCACATCTGTCCACAAAGAAACCCATGGGCTGCCCGAAGCCAGGACTGGCCCAGTGGACTCAAGCTTCCATGTGGCCACACAACTGGCTCCCACCGCTGCCGCCTGCCCCTGTGCCAGCCACAGCAGGGTGAGCTGCACAGGCTTGCCCTTGGGACAGACGCTGTCACCCCGCAGTCACCCAGTCAGCCTGAGCCCTGCTGGCCCCACCACATAGTGACCTTGCACTCGTCACTGTGAGGGCCAGGCTTTGGCACTCTTTTGCTTGTTCTTAAACTCCTTTCATTGTAATCCTGCCTTCCATGGAACTCCTGCCACGGACGGACCTCTCTTCACCCTCTGACCCCAAGCCCTGGAGGCAGCTGTTTCTCTCCTCCTCTGGAGACCTGGTTTCTCTCTGGTGGCACTGACACCCCGGGGGTCACAGGCAGTCAGAGCCAGCGTCTGCTCCCGCCCCTCTAGGCTGAGGGCGGACTCAGTTCCAGAGGGGCCCAGAGGAGGTGCATCCCCATCCTCCTGCCAAGGCTGAGAGACAATGGCCGTGTCCGGGAACAGTCCAGCTGTTAGTCACCTCACACCACTGGGCTGTTTTGTTCAGGCACAGAAAAGGACTGGCTTACAAGGACAGGGCCATGTTTTATCATTAAAGAAATTCAAAGAAAATGCCTCCCCTTCCCCAAAAGATCCTGAGTGGAACCTAAGAGAATTAGTCAAAGAATTAGCACCTACAAGCCAAAGTAATTGCATGTTTTCCTTAAATACTGGACTCTTACGTTACTTTGAGTTGACAGTGAACAGAGCCCCTACTTTTAAACTCAAAAGTGAAATTTTGATTCTCAATAGCTTTTTTGATGCCTAATTTAAAAGGCCACAAGCAGTGCCTTGGCAGCAGCCAGCAAGCACCACTCATAGTGGCCAGGGCCCCTGCAGAGAGCTGTTCTGGAGGCTGTGCCAGCCCACCCACTTCCTGACAGGGCCTGATGAGCACAGGGCTGAGAACCAGTGTCCTGCAGCAGGGTGTCCAGCGCCAGGCCCGGGAGCAGGAAAGACAGCCACCCCTGGCAGGCTGAGAAAGGCACCATGCAGCCACGTGCACCACCCCACCCTCAGGAAGTTGTCTCCTGGGAGTTCGTGACACCCACAGTGTAGCCCAAAGCAGAAAATGATCAGTGTGCTAAGGCCTGCTCAGAAATGCCCTGCCAAAGCTAAGAAAGTGAGGTGCAGGCGTGAGGACACTGGGAAGTAGGGGGAGCCCTGACTCGGACTGCGTGGCCATGCCAGGTGGGACCATAGTCCAGGAGGGTTTCCCAGTCGCACCCCGTGGCGAGCCCCCGACGCTCACCTCCTCTGGCTTGGCCAGAGTGGTCAGAAGCCAGCCGTCAGCTCCCTGAGCCCTGACGCGCGCATCCCGGGTATCAGGCATCTTCCTCACTCACACCTCGGGTGGGACGGTCGGCATGGCTGGCTGGCAGTCGGGTGGCAGGGTCAGCCTCTGCCCTGGGCTCCTCCCCGCCCGAGGCTGAAATCTGTATCTGCTGGGTACCTCTGAACCACGGGCTGGTACCTGCATGACTGTCCCATGGGGCGGCGTGGGACAGTCCCACTAAGGTGGCAGAAGCCACCCAATGGGATAGTCGTGCATGTACCGCTGGTGGTTCAAGCCAGTGGGAATGTGTTAAAGGTAGTGCTGCCAAAGGCCAGAGGCCAGAGGCCGCGGGCGCGCCACGGAGAGCAGGTAGGTACAGGCTGACCCAGGAGCTCCTCCTGCTTCACAGCCACGGTCCCTGTGTCAGCTGGCGTCCTGCAAGTTCAGGTGCAGGAACCCTGGGCAGCCCAGCTGGTCTCTGGGTGCATTGTTTCTTCCTGGAGCAGGGCTGTCTGACACAGATCTGTGCTGTGCAGGGAAGAGGGGGGCATGTGAGGACTGGGGAGCAGATGCTTGCCTAGGCTCAGCGTGACAGCATCCTGAGTGTGTGTGTTTCCTCACAGTTTGAGCAAGAAAACCAGCGACTCATTGGGGAGATGAACAGCTTGTTTGACGAAGTGAGGTGTGTATGCGGCTCCCCTGAGCTGATGCCAGGTCTCTGCTCTCTCCGAGACTGCGGTGCCCAAGCGCCTGTGTGCAGCTCCACTGAGCCCTGGTGACAGGTAGGGCTGGGCCGGTGACTGCAGGAGCCAGACAGTCCGGAGGGGCAGATCGCCCTGAATGTGATGACCACCACCCCTGCACACAGACCGCTGTCTGTGTGGGATTCCTCAACGGGAAGGCTGTGAAGGCTGTTGCTCCACAGCGGGTGCTTCCACGCGCCACACTCACCCGTGGGCCATCGTGACCCCCAGTGGAAGCACTCAGGCCTCAGCTTCGGTGGGAGTGTTTGCAGCATTGTGAAAGCGAGCCCTGGGTCTCTGCACCGCCGTGTGGCCCTGTGGACACCCCCAAAGCAAAGACCTGACGCTGTCCACGTCACTGGAGACTTTATCAGGGCAGGAGTGCTCCCCTCCGGCAGCCCTCTGCCACCTCCCTGTGCCAAGCCTGCCACTCCCTGGCCGGGCCCACCTCATCCTCTCTCCCCAAAGCCTGGTGCTTGCTCCTTTTCTTCCTGTGACTTCCTCCCCTCCCTCCCTCACCTGCTGAGGGAGTCGTGGTCACTCGCGCAGCCCCAGCATCTTTTGCCCCTTGCCACTTTGTGGCTGACAGGGGCTGGCTTCAGCCAATGCCAGCTTCCATTCCTAGACATGCATGCACAGGCCCAGCCCACCCCAGGGTACCCATGCCACCCCCAAAACAGGAAGACACTTGCCAAACCCGGATGTGATGCTTTCAGACTAAATGGGGGTGGGGGTATCTGTCAAGGGGTTATTTGGGTCCTCTGTACGTTCAGACAGAGTCTGTAATTGTCAGCACATGTGACCAAGTGACCGGGCTAGGCCTAGGACTTCAGAGACTGGGCACTCTGTAACCCGGGCATAGCCCTGAGCACCCGGTTCCCTCAGGCTGGCCCAGAATGAAGGGCACTGCACATGCCCAGCTCCTGGGACCGAGGGTCCGTCTGTGTGCTTCCTGCCTCCCCTACCACCTTCACCTGGGAGAGACGGTCCTTTAGAAACCGTGCTGTTCCTGTCGGATCCCTAAGTGCTAATGGCAAATGTGCAATGTATTGATTCTTTTTTTCTGAAGGCAAATCGAAGGGAAAGTGGTTGAAATCTCCAGGCTGCAAGAGATATTCACAGAAAAAGTTTTACAACAGGTAAACAAAACTGGAAAACATGATTGTTTTAAGCTTTGGCTCGAAAGAGAAATGTCCTAAGAAGGCAGACGTCTCTGCCTGCAGATGTGCCCCTGCGGCTGTGGCAATGCTGTGGGCACTGTGCCCACCTGCCCCGGGGCAGCCGTGGCACGGCGGGAGGGGCTGTCCTCCGGGGACCCATGTCAGGCCAAGTGGCCACCCCGCCCATGAGGCAGAGCGCATGGGCCCACGGGAGGGCACAGTCTGGGCCTGGAGTCAGGCAGCTCTTGGCTCGGCTGCCCTGGGGTGAGCTGAGTAGCCCCTCTGGACTCCAGGGCCCTATCTGTAAAATGGGGTGACCCTGCAGGGTGGCTGCCAGGTTCAGAGGTGACCCTCAGAGGCGCCCTGCCCTGCGCCTGAGGGGAAGCAGCTTTTCAGTCAGCAGTGTCACAGGCCATGCTGCACAGGTGCCACATCCTCGAGGAGGAGGACATTGCTGCCTCAGGGAATTTTCCTGTCTTGTCTGCTGGTCCACAGTCCTGCATTGCTGCTGCCCAGTAGCTGGGTAAAGCATTGTTACAGCCCGATAAAGCTCCCTTCTGCCTCAGCACCCACAGGCTGTGGCAAGGTTTGAAAGACGACATCATTTCTCCCAGTGTTAGCTGGGGCTCCGGGGCACTCGCAGAAAGTTTGCCCTCACCACATAGCCATCAGGGTGCCGTGAGGCAAACCAAGTCCAGCAGCAGGTTGGAAATTCGGGGTTGTGAGAGCTGCCCCTTTGGATCGCACCCTGACAGACGTGCTCAGACTCGTGTGCAGGCTCTCCAACTGCAGTTAGGCTGGGTCCCCGAGCAGCTTCTGGGGAGAGTGGCCAGGTGCAAAGCCCAGGTCCTGTGCAGTCAGGCCCAAGCGTGGCCCGGGTCCAGTGCCACATGCCCAGGGTCCACGTCCTCCCGCCCCCATCCCTTTCCTTGGCTGCAAAATGGAAACAGTGTTCCCACCTCGCTCAGAACCAGTGAACAGGAGGGACCTGGCAGTCTGCTCCACAGCAGACCCTCAGTGCGTGGGGCTGCCATTATTCTGGGTCTCATCCTGTTTCACTAGCACAGCCGTGGCCCCAGCCAAGAGACTGCCACCTCAGTGTATCTTGTGCACGTGGAGTGTCGTGAGGGCAGAGCAATGGCAGGCAAGGCCCGCTCTGCACTGTGATCCCTGCACTTGGCCCAGCTCCTGAGAAGTAGCTGGTGTCCTTAAGGCTGTGATCCTCATACCAGTGGCTGCCCGAGGCCCAGGCCAGATGTGGCCTGCAGAGGGGAGATGAGGTGCTGCCTCACCGCCCCCTCCCACTGCTGCAAGGGCCTGGGCCTGGGCCTGCGAGGGGTTGGCGCAGCTCTGCTGGGGCCTTGGCTTGGGGTTCAGGGTGTCAGAGACCGGGAAGTAGGTGCCATTGGTGGTTTAGTCAGTGTTTCTGGGTGGTCTGTGGAACATGGGCAAGGGTCATTGAGCTCCTGCTTTGAGATCTTCCTTAAGGTTCGACCACCAAGCAAAGAATCCTGGCCCTTGTCCCCTCACCCCTACTGTGTAACAGTCGCTGCCGGGAAGCAGGTGGCCCAAGCCCCTTCTGCAGCAAGGTGCCCGGCAGGCCTCTCCACCCTCACGTACACCCCTACTCATCAGGCGCAGCGGCAGCCTGGCCACCCTGCAGGGGAGAGGGACCCTTGAAAGCCACTGTGGGGACCCAGGACCGAAGGCTTATGGTCCAGGGGTCCCATGTGGGAGCCAGGCTCAGTTTCCTGCGCATCGCCAGTGTCCGGATGGCCTCTTCTGAGAGCATCCTGCGCCGCATGCTGATTTTGCTGTTCTGCAGATACAGTGCTAAGACGCAAGCGCTCGTCTTGAAAGCCAGCATGTGTGTTTTAAAGCAGACTTTCTGGACTTCAGAAAGAACAGTGGGTTCGCCACCCGCTTGCGCAAGCGCAAGGACCTGATTTCGATCCCCGGTACTACAAAAAAAAAAAATGGGCCGGGGATTTAGCTCAGTGGTTTCGCTGCCTGCTGCGCAAGCACAAAGACCCAAGTTCGATCCCCGGTACCAAAAAAGAAAAGAAAAAAAAAAAAAAAAAGAACAGTGGGGGCTGGATGGAAAGCCCCTGGCATGCAGCTGCCCGGCAGACCTCAGCGCATGTGTGTGGGGAAATGGGGCAGGCAGGGCAGGGCAGGGAGTGCAACCAGAGGGTGGGCGCCTCTTCCAGTCCTGCCTCCTGGCTGCTCTGGGACACTGAGTTAGGAAACTTCTCTGGGCCCTGAGTTTCCCTTGGATAAAACTGGGGTATCCCAATGTCTTGGGGTCCTGTGCGGACTCATGGGCCATGTGGGTGAAGCCTCTGCCCCTCGGGAAGTGGCCGCTTCTGTTTTCACAGTGATGGGCAGGGGGCTGTATCTACCTGGCCCTCTCTCCCGCCACAGGAAGCCGAGATCGACAGCATCCACCAGTTGGTTGTCGGGGCGACTGAGAACATCAAGGAGGGCAATGAGGACATCCGAGAGGTGGGTGCTCCTGGGCCCTGGGGCCGCCTGACAGCCCCTGCGAAGCTCAGGGCCCATCCTGCAGCCATGTGGCTCCGCAGTCACAGCTGGCAGCGAGAGGCCGTGGCTCCTGCCCTCCAGGAGCAGCCAGGTGGAGGGGCGCTCCCAGCACCACTGGGCCAGCTCCCCGGAGCCAGGGCTGGACACCATGGAGGGAGCATCAGGCTGTGACCCCAGGACAGTGGCAAGTCCCCGGGTGTCCCGTTTCCTGAGAGCACAGGACTGTTTCTGTCAGATCACGGCTTAGCACTGAGGACCGCATGGCCACTGTCTCCCATAGGACTCCAGCCCACTTGTTGGCCTCACTTGCTAAGCAGCCATCTGTTCAAGGTGGCTCGTGGCCCAGTGGCCCCGCTGGCCACGGGGAGGAGAGTGTGTAGGGCCCGGGGACCCTGTGCTGTGGGCTGTGAAACCGTAGGCCGTGGGTAACAAGGCAACGCCTGTGCTCTGCCCACCCAGGCCATCAAAAACAACGCAGGCTTCCGCGTGTGGGTCCTCTTCTTCCTGGTGATGTGCTCCTTCTCCCTGCTCTTCCTCGACTGGTACGACAGCTAGCAGTGCAGGCCGAGCACCGGGCATGCCGTGGACCTCCAGCCGGCGCTGGGCACGGCATCGCGAGGAGCGGCAGGATTGAGACAGACATGTGCTTAACAAAAGCGACACCCAAGGCAGTTAGCAGCCGGAGAGAATGTGCAGAACTGGATGTGGTCCGTGCACTGTCCTGGGCCAGATGGGAAGAATGGGCAAGATAGTTTTGAACTGGCTGTCTGGGGCCCCCGCCAGGCTACTCCCCACACTGTCCCAGGCTCAGAGGAAGTCCTGCCCCTGCCCACCCCCGCAGCTTCAGGGAAGGCCAGGCCCCGTGACACCACTCAGAAGACCCCTGGGCCTGTGTTTCCTGGCGGCTTCTGGTCAGTCTGAGTCGGCTGACACACAGCCATGGCACAACAGAAAAGAGAATTCGCACTCGCCTTGATTCATAGATGCTACCTAGCCACCCACTGACTGTCGGTGAGTCCAGACCGAGCAGTTCCGGGGACGCCCCCTGCCTGGGCTGCCACAGCTGCTGCACCCACACTAACGGCAGGGTGGGGATGGGCATAGGAGGCCAGTTTCCCAGCACTGGTGCGAGGAGGCAGTGTTTAGAGAAGGAAGCGGGCCACCGAGGGGCAGGGCCACAGAGCGGCAGGCAGGCGGGCAGGCGGAGGCCACATGTGTGCCCATAGCGCCTGCCGTCCTGGGGCGCGAGCCTTGGCCGCTGCTCCTGGGGAGGCGCCAGTGGTATGCAGACAGACAGTCTCTCGGGCAGCACGGGTACCCTCAGCTCTTTATTTGCACAGAGTGAAACATCAGAAGTTATTGCAGTCAATGTACAGCCAATAAATGTACAGAAATACACATGGGGTTGCGGTGTGCTGATTCCGTGGGCCTCGTGTGTGAGTACATAATGCAGACTCGCCTTGGCACATGTTGATTGCTCTCTATGCATCCCCCACAGCTTGACAACGTCCTCCACAGCACATGCCTCTGACACACACCCACCATGCTGAGGCCACTGTTTGCAAACACCCTGGATGGTAAAATGTGTTTCTCCCCAGAAGCACATTCCAGGAAGCTACTGGAGCGACCGTGATCACCATGCTAGTTCGCAACACATCTGCACTATGTGTCATTTATTTCCGATCTTCTAAAAGACAGTGAAACTTTAGACATGTCCACCAGAAACAACACGTTCAAATAGCATGAAGTAACAATGAATGTCATTTTTCTATCTAATTGTCTTACACACTTATTTTATCTAACTGGGGATTTTGTAAGCATTCAATGTCAAGATTCAGACTGAAACATAATTGCAGAGGCTGTAGGTTGAGGGGTCCTACCTGCAGGGCACCCTCCCCCAAGCTCTCCACCCTTCCCCGCCCGTTTCCACATCAGAGGAATTCCATCTTCTCACAGAATCAAGCTCACAGGACCCCTGGCTTGCCAGCAATTTCACTGTCACTTTTCCCACCCAGCTGATTTCTTTTTTAAACCTGCATGCAGGGCTGCGTGTGCAAATGTATTCATACTCGGAGTTAACAAAAGGGCCAGCGGTGTTCCTTCCTGTTCAGTGTTTGGCCCGGGCCTGCCCCTACCCACCCCTCCTCAAGCTCTGCAGAGAACCCTGCCATCTCCACCCACCCCTCTTTATCAAGATGCTGGGGACAGGGGACCCAGAGGTGGTCTGGGGGCGGCTGTGCTAAGACCACACGGAGCATCGCTGGCGCAGGGCTCCCCACTGAGGGGTCAGGACGGCCCCTCTCCTCCCTTCTCTGCACCTGTCACTGCAGCGCGTCTCAGCAGTCAGCACTGTGCAGCTATGGGAGGCGAGAGAATCAGGAGTGGGGCTTGCCCTTAGCAAAGTGAGAAATCACTGCAGATATGGCTGTGGAGTAAGGTGTGCGAGAGCAAGGTGGCTTTAAAAAAACTCAACCCCACCAAATGCAGTATTTATCTGAAGTCCAAACTCCTGACCTATCCAGTGTACATTTATTTTTTGACAGCATCCAATAAACCTGGCGAAGGAGCTAAATTAAGAACCCTTAACATGAAGGTGGCGTCAGAGCTCTTTAAGCATTGCTGATACGCACTTGGTTTTATGCCCATCGGTGGTTGGCAGCAAGTTTTATTTGCAAAGCAGCATTAGCAAACAGAAGCAATTGCACCATAAATAAGTAACCTCTAAATTACCAGTAATTATATTTAATGAAATGTCCCTCAAAGTCCCTTTGTTACCTTCAAGTGACACATTGTAAGGAGCTTGCCCATCTCACTAAGCTGACTTCTCGGCCGCTTCTGTCTCCTGCTCTGACAGCTTCTCTTCCGACAGAACCGACATCCAGGGCGATACGGAGCGGGTGATGCTCTGCTTGGCCAGGTTGTAGTGGTTTACGACTGTGTAAAATTTCTCCCGGGCGCTGGAGTCTCGCTCTGCGTAGTAGCTCTCCAAGCCTTCAGGGATGCACTGGGTGTTCTGCAAGACAAGAGCCCACTGAGACACCTGTGGGGTGAGGAGAATGCCAGTGAGCATCCCCACTGCACACCCACAGACTGACCAAAGGCAGGCGTGGTCCTCCCCCAGCGGACAGCTGCGTGGAAGCCCGGCATCGATGACACCTCAACAGAACAGGCTCCGGCCAGTGCCGGGACGCGGATGCTCCGGCAGCACCCTTGCCGAAGGCCTCGAACCAGGTATCACTCAGTTTTATACTACTGGAAAACAACTGGCACTTTCGGCATGCCCAGAGGCACTGACTCAAACAAGGACGAGGTGAGAACTGTGTCCCCGCACTAGGTCCCTCAGGGGCTTTGCCACAGGGAGAGGGACAGGAAGCACAGGAGGCAGAGGGAATGGCATGAGAGCAAAGGCCAGGAAGCAGGAGGCTGCAGACAGGTGGAGCCCAGAGCTCACGGAGGGGAATGGAGAAGCTGGGACAGAAGAGGTGTGGGCTATGCCTTGTGAGCCACGGAGCTGTAGGAAGCCGCAGAGGAGGCTCAGGTGGGGTCTGGACCAGGAAGCTGCCCCTCCAGCCGCTAGGGAGGCCACGGTAAGGCTGGATGTGGCACTTTGAAAGGAGACCCTCCACACTCATCAAATTATCCAGAGTCTAAGGCCCCAAAGGCTTAAGATCCTCACCTGAGCTGGCTGCTCACAGGACAGGAGCTGACTGACCTGTCAAAGCGGATGCTGGTAGAGCACTGTGGGGCACAGGGGTCTTCGTGCTCACGTCGCAGGGACCCCTCACCCCAGCCCCACGGGGGAGGTGTGCAGAGGCTGCCAACTGTCTTTCACACCCATTCCCTGTAGTCAAAGGGGACACACAGCACCCCAGGAAATGATAACATTTCCCAGCTTGCCTTGCAGCCAGATGAGGTCATGTAACTGACTTCCAGCCAGCAGCATTCAGGTGGACGTCAAGGGAGCAGACTCGTCAGGGCCCTAAGGGGACGCTGCATGCCTCAGCTCTCCCCATGTCCCCTCATGGCCAGCTGCAAGAGGCGGGACTGTGCGGAGCCACCCTGCCTGCCAGCTGGGATTCCGAGTGGGGTGATACAGCTCCCTCCTGGTCATGGCCTCTGTAATGTGTGTCTCTGAGCAACCAAACCTCATGCTCGTGCCAAGGCTCTCCTTACCAGATAGGAATGTGAGGCCAGTCACTAGGGGCCTCCATCTGTCACTGTCTCAGCAGCTCCTCACGAGTCTAACTCAGCAAATCTGCACTGTAGCTGTCCATATTTCAACATCTCTGCACGGAGCCTAAGGCTCGGCCCAGCCGCATCCAGCGTCTGGGCCAAGGCCACCTTGATGGGAAGTGGCTGAGCCCACAGCACCCCAGCCTGCTCCTGGCTAGTGACAAGAAACCCCTGCAGTCTCCTCCCCTACTTGGCAGTGAGGTGGGCCTGATGGAATCCCTTGACATCTCCAGGCCCCTCAGGCCTTTGCTAGGGCACACGGTGGCCTCTGTGCCCATGGATGTGGGTGGCCAGGGGGCATCTCACCTAGTCCAGGACACCAGGGACTTCCTCTTCCCTGAGGCTGAGTGCTAAAGGCAGGCTTGCTGGGCCTCCTAACTGGGGTACCTGCTCCTCGGGGCTGTCCTGCGGATTCTAGGCCACCTCCCCTGTCCTGGTAGCGAAGGCACAGGGACTGGGTCTGCACCCACTTCCTGTTCTCCCTCTTGATGTTACAGCACAGCCTCCCTCTGTGAGGCAGGTGCCGCTAGTCCCACGTTACAGGTGTGGAAGTGAGGCTCAGAGAGGTGAAGCAGCTCCCCAGGCTCACACAGGCCCACGTCTCCGGCCTGGCCTGAGGTCACAGCCCAGAGAGCAGGACAGTGGAAGGAAGCCCCACCAGGCTTGAAGGGCCAAAGCTGCTCTTCTCCCGGAGCAGGCCCCTGGCAGTCTGCAATTTGGACAGCAGCCAGTGAGTCCCGGCCCTGGCACACACGGGCTGCAGAATGGATGTCACCCCTGCCCCAGTTACTGTCACTGCAGCTCCCTCCTGTGCCCTTGAAGGTGCAGATACGATGCTCACTGAAGAGGGAAAACGAAGCACAGGGAGGCTAGGACCTGCCTCCCAGAGTCCGAGCTGGCAAAGGAGCCAGGGCTACAGCCGCAGTCTGCACACTGTGCTCCGAAGCCAGCCAGCAACGCCTGGCACCACACTGTGACCCTCGGAGCCCAGGGCCTCTCATGTGACATCATACAGCTGCTGCTCGGGTCCTAGGGATGAGTGTGAAACACGCTGAGTGAAAGTGATCCTAGTGCCATGGACAGAGATCCCGGCTGTGAGCGGGTTGAGGACCAGGGTGGCCGCTTTGCCGTGTCTGTGACGGAGAGGCACCCACAGGCTCCCCACTCAGCAGCTGGGGCAGGAGGATCGCAGCTGGAGTCCAGCCTGGGCAACCTAACTGCACTCTGTCTCAGAACATAAAAAGGGCTGGGGAGTGGCTCAGTGCAAAGACGCTGGGTCTGACCCTCAGCACTGCAAAAATATTAAGACAATAAAATACGCAAGAGGAAATCCGGCATCTTCGCCAGCTGGCTACTTTCATGATGCCTCACATCCTCAGCTTGAGCCACTTGGACGTGGCAGGCAGGGGCGTCCCGCTGGGAACATGGCCCCTGCGTCCTGTCCAGCACTGACTGGATCCTCCGCCTCACCGGACAGGGCAGACGCTGAGTGAACATGTGTCCAGGGCGGAATGAACAGAAGGCGGAGCCTGAGCATGACCAGGGGCCTCTTTGCCTCCAGGTCCCACTGGTAAAATGCGGATGCAGGCGGAACAGGGTGTCTACCCCACAGGCTTCTGGGGGCCTGGTGTAGAAGCCCCTGTGAGCCCCCGCCCAGACCACTCTTCCCTGCCACTGCAGCGGCCCCTCCGCCCCTCTCCACCTGGCTCTCCCTTCCAGTCCCTAGTGAGGACCTCAGAGATTGTCCCCACCGCATCCCCTTCCTCCACCCCTTTGCCAGGTGCTCCAGGTGCCACACAGCCCGGCCGTAGCTGCCTCCCCTCTCCACTGGGCCTGGGGCTGCCTCAGGGGATGCGGGCGGCTGGGCCCGGGCTGAACAGGGGCCGCTGAATAAGGGTCTATGATGGGTGGGGACCCTGGGGCTGCCCCAGCGTCAGCCTTCTAGAAATGCGGCCCCAAACCACAGCCCCAGTCCCAGGCCCTTCCTTTCTCTTCTGCTTATGATCACTCAGGATGCCCGTGCTGGAAGGTGTGAGTGTCACAAAGGACAGACTCTGCCTGTGCAGCTCCTGGAGGTGACCCAGCACCTGGGCAAGGCAAAGGCGGCAGTCAGAAGCCCTGCAGGGTAGCACAGTGTGGGAGGAAGCGGGTCCTGGCTGGGCCCCGGGAACTCTGCTCTCCCGCTACCTGTGTGGCGGTATAGTCCTCATGTCCCAAAACACAAGTCCAAAGCACCCAGTGATGCTGCCGGGCCGGGCGGCTCACACCGGTGCCTGGAGTTCAGCGTGCCAATCGCTGGGAGGACCAGTGTTTCCGGTCATGCCTGGAAGGCTCGGAACGTCCAGGGTGCCCAAGCACTCAGGAGACAGGAGCCCACAGCAAGCATGTCATCTTCTCCCTCCCTTAGTCCTGCTGCCCTGTGTGGATTCCTTGGCCCACACCTGGGCTCTGAGGGCCAAGTGGTAGGCGACGTGAACCTTTCTGCAGGCATTGAGCGCAGGACCCACGGTGGAGCCACAGAAGTGGGGCTGGGAGCATCTAGCCTGCTCCCCGGCCCTGTGCAGCTCGGGCGGTGCCCCTCTCTCTGCATGGGCCTGTGTGTCCTCCCCCTTCCTGTGGCCCAGAGTCCCTCCCCTCTCCTCTCCTCTTGCCTTCTCTTCCCCAGACTCTAGGTCAAGGCCAGGAGTTTCCTTCCACCCATCGCTCCTGCCCTCTGCCCACCTGCCCAGCTATCAGTGAGGCTCCTGTTGTCAGGACAGAACACAGGGCCCCTGCTGCCCAGGGCCCTCCCCAGCCAGCTGGGAGGGACACAGGAGCAGCTCCAAGGTCAAGGGAGAGAACCTCGGCTAAGTGCCCCACTCCTAGGGGGAAACAAAGCTTACCTTGAGGACGAACCCATCCGGGCAGGCACGATCGTACTTGTACACCTTGTAGACGACCAGGAAGACCACACAGGTGAGGAAGGCCAGGGCAAAGAGGACCAGCACCGAGACCTGCAGGCAGAGGTAGGGGCCATCGGAGCAGCTGAGAAGGCGGCCGGGCAGACAGGTGCACGCAGACACGTGCACACACGCACACTGTACCAACATGTGTAAAACTCCGGAAGAGGCAGGAAGATCCTGCGGAGGGCAGCTGGGGACAAGATCAGGACAATCGCTTTTCACGGGACATTTTGTACACCCTACACTGTTCTCATTTTCACCATGTCCATGCCTCTCCTTCACCTTTCTGAAGCTGTTTCTAGCGTTCCAGGCTTGCAGAGAAAGCGCTGGGTATAGACACTGCAAAGCTTGGGTACTGCCCAAGCCTCTCCTTGGCAACTCAGACTGAGACGTGAGACCAGGCTGCTGTGCCATGCCCAGTCACCGACCCGGGACACCTGCTCCATGGACCCCTCCAGAGCCCCAGGCTCAGGGCTGGGACACAGCGCCACTCGCACACCTGGCTGCCCTTGCACTGGGACCAGCTGACCTAGAAGGACAGAACATCTCCAGCCCTGCCCCTTCTCTCTTGACAGTGCCCTGCAGTTCAGTTCGTGTCCACAGCATCGGGGATTGGTTTTCTTCACTGCTCTATGCTGAGACCTCCACTGGTCCAGCACATAGTTCAGCTGCTGTTTACAGCGGAACTCACCGCAGCGTGCTAGACAGCAGGCGCGGAGGCAGGAGACCCGTCCCTGCTGGAAGGGACTGGGCCCAGGACCCCAGGTAACATTGCATCGGGACCCTGAAGATGTTCACCCGGCTGCTAGGAAGCCCGGCAGGGTGAGAGCATGAGGTGAAAGGGTGAGTGGCCCCCACCAGCCCAGGTGAGCAGCGGTGGCCATCAGGAGGGAGACAGGCACAGCACAGCAAAAGACCAGGAGACACTGGCACCTTACCTCCCACCCCTTCCACTGCCACACACAGACCTCACAACCAGGGGTGGGGAGCAGGGGGCCCTGCTGCCTCCTGGGGCTGCCGAAAAGACCCAGGTGCAGCCCTGGCTCATCTGAGTGGACCCAGCGAGGTGCCGTGCACCCTGCGGGCCTCAGAAACGTCACCTTAGGTCCACAGCAGGAGTGGGGTTCCCTTCCCACCTGTGAAGGGGAACAGAAGTATCCAGGTGCCGGCCAGGAGAAACAAGAGGAGACGCAAGATGTAAGAAGTGTGCCGTGAGCCACGCCGCACAGCGCGTTCCCTGGAGGCAGAGGCCAGCCCCCCTGTGAACTCTGATGTCCCGTGGACACCTGCAGCCCCCTGCACCAGGGCTGTTCCCCTGCTGGGTTCGCCACACACTCACGCTGAGACGCCCTGGAGCCCCGCCTACCACAGCCGCTCTCCCAGGATGTGGGACAAGGCCTCCGACACTGCCCAGTCACCGCCAGGCTCCAGACCTTGTCAGTGTCACTACAGGCACCCTGCCTCCATTTCCGGGAGCTCCTGATCTCCAAGGTTCAGATTTGCCCGGCCGCATCCCTGCTCCGGGGAACCCCAGCTGGAGGCTGGAAGGCAGGGTGGCTCAGGTCAAGGGGGTGTGGGCATGGCCTCTGTGGGCGCCGCCCCCTCGTGAGGCCCTGCGGCACAGCTCTGGGTGCAGGCGCCCTGGCCACGCTCCCCAGGTCAGGGCGGCTGCCCAGGCCCCACCCTAGTCACAAAGCACAGCCATGGCCCTCAAATCCCCATCCCTCACTCCGCGGCTCACTCCACGGCAGGTGGAATGAGACATGGCCCCCCAGGAGGCCCTTCCTACTCTAAGTCCTGCCTGGTCCAGGTCTGGCCTCCCCGCTACACCCCAGTCCCCAGCCCTACTCCACCCTCTGTGGCCCCCTGGACTGTCACCCTCGCTGAAGGCCAGAGGCTCTGCTCTGCATGGGCAACACGCACTGCATATGCAGCCGCATGGGCGCTGGGATGCACACAGGATGGGCAGGCTGCCTTCAGGGCCTGCGGGGCACAGTGCCCACCAGGGCCCAATAGCTCATGGCCCAGCTGGCCACAGATGCAAGGCGGTGTGCAGCCTGGAGCAGCAGGAAGTTGGGGTCTGCTGGAGAAGCAAGTGCAGCACCTCGCTGGTGCCAGGGAGCGGCACGGCACAGGGCAGGGCTCACAGGTACACGGCCCTGCGGCTCTGGCTCCCAGTCCACCGGCTGGGACAGCAGTCACCGAGGGCTGCTGGGAGGGCCAAGGAGCTGGCCTGGTGCCAGGACCCTGAGGACAGGGCCTGGTGTGCTGGACACAGCAGGTGTGGCTCTTGCTATGCTATTATCGCTGTTGTCCTGTGTCTCACTTGGGGTCACCCAGATGGCGGACCCGGCCCTCGACCCAGGTCATCCCACCCCTGCCTGTCGCCCCAGTCCCCACTACGGGGCTGTGTCACTCAGGGTGGACTGAGATGGGACATCATTCACCTACTCCTTCAACCTAGGAGCCACTCGGGAGCCAGGTTCATGGTGCCCCACCTGCTAGAGTTTAAAAATAGCCCAGCCCTCCCAGCAGGCTGTGGGGGAACCACTTCCGCACGAGGCTCTGGAACCCGGCCTGGGCCTTTATTGCAGGATTCCCAAGCCTGGCAGCCAAGGAGCTCACAGAACCGAGAAATGAGAACGCGGGACAGTCCCTGGAGCTGTCGGGAGGAGGACAAAGAAAGAAACCGAGTCAGCAGGTGGAACGGGGCCGTGACGCACTTCCCAGCCCGCCATCCTCTCCTCCAGAGGCCTCTGCAGACCCCAGAGAAGCCCCTCCTTGCTGTGGCGCACCCATCCCCCTCTCTGTCATGGCTGAGACAGCACCACGGGCCTTTCCAGAAGGGTCCCCTCCTAGCTCGGGGCTGTCCTGACCTCACGATGTGGACCATGACCTTGAGCAGGTGGCCTGGCCTGTCAGGGCTCCTATCTCATCTTGGAATGGGAGGCAGTGGCTTATCAGGAGACGGTCTGCTGTCGGCCCCCAGCCTGGCCCCTTACAGGCCCTCTGGAAAAGGGGTTGAAGTCTAACCACAAGGACTGCGAGGGTGACCCTGTTCAGCAACAAGGCCTTTGCAGATCTGATCAAGCTGAGGTCGTTAGGTTGGCCTCTGTTCCAATTTGACTGGTGTCCTTATACAAAAGGGAAATGGAGACACAGACTGAGGACCAGAGTGACAGGTCCACAAGCCAAGCCACACCAAGGCCTGCAATCCCCGGAGACAGGGAAAGGCAGGTGGACCCTCCCCTGCAGGACCCCAGAGAAGCCCAGCCCTGCAACACCTTCATTTCAGACTTCCAGACTCAAAACTATGACAGATTAGGTTTCTATGGCTGTAAGCACTCCGCTTTGGGTCACTGTGTTGTGGAAGCCGCACCAGGTCACCCTGCCTTCTCTCCTCAGCCAGAAGGTTCTGGAACACCCGAGCCTCTCTCTGAACACCAATCCTACATACAGACATCGAGGCACCAAGCATCTCCTTGTCCTAATTCAATACAAAGTGTCCCAGTTTGGAGACTGGCATGAACCTCCCCTTCCCCGTGAGACAGCTGGGTGAAATTACTGAGCCAGGCATCGGTGCTTCCTCCCAGCCTTCGAGTCCCCTGAGGCTCGATCTGCCTTGATAAGCATCGCTCTGTGATTCCTGGAAAGCCCTGCGAAACTTCATCTTTCGACCATCTTCTGAAGACTTTGGCCAAAAAAATGAAAGGGGGAGTAGCCATGTGGTACCAAGACAGAGAGGAGCCTGGGTTTGGGTTCAAACCCTGCTCAGCCACACATAGTGACCTTTGGATGGGCTCAGCCCACACACAGTTTCCTCAGTTGTGGAAGGGCGCCTGTGCTTGCATTGGGTAGGCAGGGCCCTGGGGCCGGGCAGAAGGCGAGCAGTGAGCCCTCATCCACACATGGCACCGCAGCCTGCCAGAGGGAAGCTGCTGGAGGACCGTGATCTAGCCTGCTGTGGTGGTGGAATAACGGCCCCCAAAGACATCCACATCCTAGTCCCCGTGCTGTGCTTGGGATGTGTCCCCTCAAAATGCCATGTTTGGGGAACTCACTCCCCAACACTGAGTATGAGGAGCCAGGGCCTACCCAGAGGAGACTGGGTCTGAAAGGCTCCACCTCAGGACTAGATTAATGCCCTTGTCCAAAGAGTGGGTTTCCCATAAAAGGCAAAATTAGCCATGAATAGTGATGCACGCCTGTAATCCCAGCTCCTCAGGAGCCTGAGGAAGGAGGCTCACAAGTCCTAGGCCAGTCTGGACAACTTGGCAGGACCCTACTTCCTATCAAGTAAGGGTCGGGGTGTAGCTCAGACCACTTGTTTAGCGCCCATGAGGCCCCGAGGTCAATCATGGCACCGAAGATATAATCACTGAAAGGGCAGATTCGCTCTCCTTTTCTCTGCTTGCTCTGGCCTCTCTCCGACATTCTTCTCGGAGCAGCAGTGAGGAGGTCCCCGGCCCTGAGTCCAAGACCTCTCTCGGGGCAGGTACCCGGCTTACCCGTCACAGGGGACCTCATGGAGGGGGCCTACGACAAAGTAGGTGACGTGAGGGCGGGGAGGGGCCTGGAAGATGGGGCGCTGCTGATCTAAAGGAGAGAAGGGCCAAGGGCCAAGGACATGGACCTCCCCGCTCAGGTGGCCTCTCCCACAACCCCCACGGGCAGGGAAGGCCTCCGACTGACTCCGGGGTATGGGAGTGAAGGAGGGGCACAAATCCAGTCCCCTGAGCCTTGCCAAGCCGCCCTTGGGACCTGCAGCCCACTCAGGCTTCGTCTACAGAGAACACGGGATCCTCTCAGCTTCATTAAGCCTGCAGCAGGTCCAGGGTGGCTCTTCCTCCACCACACAGTGCCTGACCCCCACACCCAGCCTCCTGGGGGTAGGCTGTGGACTCAAGGGCCAAGGCCACCGGGCCACCGGGGCCCTGGTGGGAACAAGGAACTTCCCCGGGGCATGGGAGGCCGGACCTCAGCCGCCATGCTGGCAGGGACCCAGGAGTGTGTTCTCCTTTTCATTTTGTATGAGAATCAGAAGGAAAAAA